ATGGTGGCAGCTGGCACAGAGGCTTTCCCACAGGCCCTGGTGTGTATCCCCAGACACTCAAGAAGGCTCTATTGGAGAAGAGCTCGAAGCTATAGTGTGTTGCATTGTGTTGTGTCTGCCAACTGAGTATTTACATTTATTTGTGTTGCAATCTTGTTGATTATGTCAACGGTATTTATAAAGTAACATATAATAATACACCAAAAGAATCATCTTACTATCTGGTAATAACTCATAAGTTTTTCCATCTCAAACAATTAGATATAATCAAAAAAGTGATAAGATTAAATGAAATGAACAAGGCAAAAAAACATTAATGGAGCATCCAAAATAAAGAAAACGTTAAACAACAAAATATATATAAAATAAAAACAAAACGAAAAATAAAAATGAATATAGTAGAAGTAAAAGTAAAAATAAAATCATTAATATTTTCAAACAATTTTATAGAGACTCAAAGAAAAAATCACATTTCAAAGAATTTAAAACATAAATTTTATTTATCTTTTTTTTCGCTTCGAAATGTCGAAGCTATTTTTTTTCCAGCTTTTGATAGTTTTTTTGCTATAGTTTTTTTTCTTTGATTTGAACCATCTTTTGGTGATGTTTTTGTTTTTTTCGATTTAGAACTATAATGCTTTTCCGATTTAGGGTTCAAACTATCATTCTCCAATTGTTTGAGTTCGCATAGTGGAGAGGATGAAAAAGATACAGAAGGTGAAGAAGGAGATGATGATGAAGAGTCTTTTGACACAGGGTCGGTTAAAGGAGAAGCTGACTTCATTTTAACTGTATTGTTGTACAAATCTTTATCAATTGGAGAAGAAACTTTCTTGCTTTCATGTAACACATCACCATAATCATCATCTATTTCTCTCATTCGTTTTTCTCGAATTCTATTCATTTCAGACACAGAACTTTTCTCTATTAACAATAAAATCTCTTTGCTTTTATTATTTTCTACTGTAGGTAATTCAGCAAAACTAAGCTCTTTGGCATTTTCAACTGCATCATTAATTTGTAATTCCTTTTCTCCTTTCTTTTTCATTTTCTCAATTTTCTTTTCAATTTTCGTTTCTTTCTTCTCTCCATTTTGTTTTTCGTTATTTTCTGTGCAATTATCTTTTAAAAAGTCATCCTTTTTGTCCTCTAAAACTCCAGTATCTATCAGTTCTGTTTCTATTTTCTGCTTCTCTATTGATTCGTTATCGTTGATTTTGTTTTTCTCAAATTCGATTTCTTCTTCTTGATTTTCCTGAGTCAACTGAATATCAATATCTGTTTCAATTTTTTCATTTTCTTTATAATGGTCAATCAATCGTAATTTTGTACTTTTCATAATATTTGGATCTGAAACATTATCAATCATAGTACTAACAGAGCTTTTCTTTTTGGGTTTGGAAAACTCTTCTGCTAATTCAATAATTTCATCCCCAATATATATGTCATCTTTTGGATAATTAATCATCAGGAGATCATCTTTAAAATTATTGGCAAGGTATGTGATAATTATTTTATAATTTTTCCTCTTTTTGAATCCAAAAATGCCTGCTCTTCCAGAACTAATCATACTAGAGGCATTGTTGTTCATGATATTGATACTATCATTTTCCAAGCTCAAGTTCCGGTCTTCTCCTGAGATTGATTCATCTTTAAACAAGTTATTATTCAAAATGTCTATTTTATCTTCAACTTGAGTCAACACACCAGAGTCAACGACATTATCATCGGCTGTCTCACAGGCCCCATTCATGGTATTACTACTGTTACTATTGTTCACACTATCATCATTCTTAAAAAATTCCACCATATTATCTAAAAAATTAAGACAGGAAGAGTTGATCATATTATTCATGTTTCTGTTTTCCACAAGAATATTTAATACAAAAGGAAATAATTTTGTTTGAGTTATAATGTACATCGTATAATAATCATCGTTTTGCAGTAAAACGTTATTAAAACAGCGAATAGCAGACAATCTAATTTGCAAGTTGAATCCATTCTCTTTTGGAATCAACTTTGAAAGACCTGATAGTACGTGGTTTTCAAGAAAAAAGGCTCTTGCTCTTAATCTATGTTCATTGCAGCAAAAAGATATCAAATCACAAAGGTTATTGAACAAAGTGATATCGTATTTTGTTCTTTTTTTCTGAGTTCCGCCTATTTCATTTGAAGTTTGCAGTGGTGATTGCTTATTTAAAGCAATAATTGGAAAAAATAATTTTGGTGCGACAATTTTGTAAAAGGCGTCAAAATAGTAATCGCAATTTAATATTGGAGGCAAAACGTTGTTCATTCTAAAATTGATTCTATTGTTTTCAAAATCTTTGTTATAAAAGTCTGGTGATGGCGGTGAACGAAAATCAGAACTAGGATCAAATTCTTTTTGATCGTTGTTATCTATATTAAAATTATGGTTATTTAAGGAAATATCATTAAATGATGGAGTTGGAATGTTTAATAATCCTTTAATTGCCTCGAATATTTGAATTTTTAATCCTGAATTATTTTCTTGTAATACTAATTCGGTTAAAAGTAGTAGCAAAGACATGTCATCTGATAGTATCATTTCAGGTCTTCCAGTTGTGAATAGTCTTAAGTTTTGTTGTTGATTTTGCAAGTGAAAGTTATTGATTTGTATTTCTTCCGTGGTTTGGTTATTCATATTATTATTAAGAGATTCCGAATTATTGTTGGTTTCATTTTTTGGAATAAAAGTTTCGAGAGTATTTTCTTTAATTTTTTCATTTGTATTTTTCTTTGTATTTGTAGTTGTAATTGTTGATTTTTTTTTATCTTTTTCAGGCAAAATATTTTGAAAAGAATTTTTAGTTTCTACATTCAGATTTATTTCAATTTGTGGATCGATATTTTCTAGTAAAGTGTTTTTTTTCTTTTTTTTAAGGACATCGTCTTTGAATTGTTCTGTATCATTAGTGATGTCCTTGATTATATCATTTACGTTTGATTTTTGCGATTGATCAGTTGGATTTTGTTTTGGTATTTCTTTTTGATCAGATTGATTCTGTTTTAATATGTCTTTTTGATGAGTTTGAAGAAATGTGTTGTTTTCTTTTAGGTTGTTTAGATCATTAAAAAAGTTATTTACGGCATTTTGGGAGTTTAAGTTAATATCATTAGTAATGATGCTGTTGTTGGTGTTGATGTTTTTTTTGTAGATGTGGTTTATTAGTAGGACGTCTTGGTCAGTTATTGCCAAAAGGATTTCAGTTGCTAGAGTTCTTGAGTCAGTTTGAAGATCTTTTAGAGCGAATTGTAGCATTTTGAATAGGCCATTTTTGATGAGAGATTTATAGAACACGGATTTAGATTCTTGCTGCTGGATATTTTTGCACATTGTTATGAATTGGTAAATCATTTTGAGGGTGTTTCTCTTTTCTTCTAGGTTGTAGAGGGAGGAGTTGTTGACGGTGAAGATGTTGAAGATGTTTTTTAGAAAAAAGTCTGATTTTTCTAGATATTTGATGATGTCGCAATGGTTATAGTAGATGATGGTTGAGATTACGGTAAACATTGCGTCGTCGAGAAATCTTGCTAGCACAACGTCTTTTAGGTATTGGTAGATGAATGTTTTTTTTAGTAATTTTTTGAAGTTGATGAAGTTTAGATTTGAGTTGAAATTTGAGTTTGGAAGGATTTCTTTGAATCTTAAATCTGAGAGTAAGAATTGTCTGTATTTAGCTTTAAAGAGAGGGAAATCAGGATCGTATTCTAGTATGCCTATTATGTTGATTAGGATTGAGTTTTTGTAGAATTTAGTTATGACAGATTCGTTGTTGTTGTTGTTATTTGAGCCAGAAAATTGGATTGAGGAATCTATATCGTTGTCGAATAGGTGATCAAAAATTGAGTTTTCATTGTATAGAATTAAAGTTTTGATAATGTTGAAGAGAATGTGCAAGTTTTTGAGAAGATGGTTTTTCTCAGATTTTTGAAAGATTTTAATTAGTTTTAAAACAAAGTTGTTTTCGTGGATGAATTTTGCCATTGATAGTTTGCCTAAAGCTGTGGAGGAGTTTATTATTAGGATGTCTAAGATGTTTAGTAGATTTTTGTGATTTAGGGAAGGGTTTGGAGGAAATTCTATTGGATTTGATATGACTTCGTTGATTTCGCCATTTTCAGTGGTTGTGACAGAGACTAGAGAGATGGAAGGCTGCAAGATTTGCTGGACACTTAGTAGGAAGTCGCATAGTAGAGAGCAGCCTATTGATTCTTGAAAACTTAGAGCAATGTCCTGACCCGATGAGTCAGTCCATACTATGAGAGTAGTTTGTTGTTTTTGGTATTGAGTGTTTGGTTCAATTTTTGATTTTAGTAGAATTGAGTCGTCGTTGTTTTCCGAGTTTACTATTAAGTAAGCAAATTTGTTTTCAATTCTACCAAGACAATAGCCGGTTCCTTGATCTTGCCAGTCGTTATCGATCAAGTAGTATACTTTAACTCTTTTGGGAGATTGGAAGTGGTTTTGGAAGTAGGAAGCGTTGAAGGATAACGAGGACATTGTGAGGCGAGGATGTGAGTTGGGATAAGATATAGTATAGTATAAGGGATGAGATGAGATAAGATAAGATAAGACAAGATAAGATAGAGGATGAAGAGTGAGGGTAGGACAGAATTAGGCAAGGTAATATGGGATAAGATGAGATGAGCTGCGATGGAACAAAGTTTAGACAATCAAAAATTTGGGTCAATTGATAGCATAGTATGATTTGGAACCGAAAAACAACAACAAAACGCAGAGGTTGGTGTGAAACTGGAGGTAATTGGGATATAATTACACAATGAAGAAGCAGTGACCAGGAAATTGGATCAGAGAGCAGCAGTGGGAGATGCGAGATGGAGATAAGTGGAGCTGATGGTGGTGGTGGTGGAAAACACGCGTTCAGACACCAGAGAGGAATTGGAGGGGGTGCAGTGTTGCCGGGGAAAATGGGCGAGAGACTGGAGGTGCTGCTGTATTCTGGAGAAGGCGTGCCGCTGGCGTCGGGGTCGGGAGCTGAAGAGGCAGTGGGGTCTATGGGGTCTGTAAGTCTTGCTGGATTTGCTGGATTTGCTGGAGCTGATTATATCTGGTGATTAATTGGGACTGTAAAATGGCCTGTAGTAATTCCGGGTGGGCACGTGGCCGGCCGCCTACTTCAACTCGACAGTTTGCTCCGTGCCGACGTAGCGTCCGACGTCGATTTTCCACCGGTCGGCGAACGCGGGGCTCACAAAGCGACCGCCCAAAAAGTGTCTGATCCGGCCTTTTGCGGCGGAGTTGTGAGCCAAACGCACGAACTCCACGGCGGCGGGTTTGGGCGCGGTCAAACTGACCAAAACCTGCGGAAATAAGTTCCACTCGTCGTACTCCGGCAACGGACCCTTGTCGACGTCCCAGCCGGTGGGAAGATCGACGGAGATGATGGGCTTGAGCTTTTTCTTCAGCAACTGCTCGTTCTCCTGCTTCACCATCTTCAAGATCTGGTCAAAAGGCGCCCGGAGAGGAGGTCGGAACGAAAAGCCAAAGATGGCGTCCACAATGCCGTCGCTCTCCTCGAGCAACTTGCGCAACACATTTTCGTCGAAAATGAACTTCTGCTTTGTGGGATCGATCTTGTCTGTGTTCATCGTGATGATGGGGATCCCAAACCGGTGCAACTGTGTCTCGAGACCCTTGAAGCTACTGGAAGGCTTGGGGTAGTACACCGTGGGTTCGTAGCCAAAAAGCTTCAAGTGTCTGGCTGCCACCAATCCATCGCCGCCATTGTTGCCTGGCCCTGCTATGATGAGCATCTTCTTGTGGGTCTTGGGGGGATAGCTCTTGTAAACGCTCTCTGCTACTGACAATCCTGCGAGCTCCATCAACTGGTCCAACGAAAACCCAACGCTGGTTGACATCAACTCCTTGTCTAGTAAAATCGCATTTTTGCTGCTTATGGTGCGGAACGACATCTTCTTAATATCTATCTTGATGTTCCTGGTGTATCTTTTCTTAAATGCTAACTCTGTCTGATTCACCACAGTCTTGTTCTTCTTGAGGTCCTTCTTGCTTGTCTTTGTGGTGGACTTAATGTTGCTTTTTATATTCGCCTTCTTGGAATTGCTTTTGGCTGTTTTGCTGTTGAACTCCTTTGTGTTTCTCCCACTCGACAGAAAGGGGTAACTTAAAACTGAGTTGAATGAGTTTAAATACGAAAATATTAAATACGTCGGAACAATAAAATATAATGCAACTACAAATAGTGCAAACTTTTGTGCTAAATTCATTGAAATTGATATGAAAGAATTAACCCCAATCAAATTAAATAAAAAAAAATAAAATAAAATAAAATAGAATAGAATGAAATAAAACGAAATGAAATGAAATGGTTTTATATTATTTCTTATATCTGTATTGACACTTTTGCTTGCGTTTTCACCGCCGTCAATTAGCTTTTTCCACTTCACTTCGTAACCTTCGTAAACATCGTCAATTCCCTATTCTCTTTCCTCACAACGCTCACGGGATACTCTACATTTATTAGCATATTAATTAACGCTAATATTAATAAAACAAAAAGTAATTTTTTAAAATACTAATCAAACAAAGAATATATAAAAAAAAAATTAAACTAAAAACGTAATCAATCAGGATATCGATCTAATCTAAAAAATTATTCTAATAAATTATTCTAAAAATCAATAAAAAATCAATAAAAATTAAATAAAACAAAAGGAAAGAAATTTAAACAAGTTACTCAAAATTTAAATAATCCATCTTAGCAAGAAACTAATAAAAACACACAAAATGATAAAAAAAACAAGAAAAACAACAACAATTCATCATTAATTATGATCGATTAAAACGACCCACCTTTAAACTCTTCACTCTGTTTAATAATGAGTTACTATTCCCATTTGTATGGCTATTTGAAATATTCTCCTCAGACTTGTGATGGTGCATATGATTTCCAATTAATCTTCTGCTCAACGATTTCTTCCTCTTGACATTTGAATTCGCTCTGACCATGTTTTCTGGTGAAAACTCAATTGGTTTATCGAAATCGTCATTGGAACTTGAGCTTTTTTTGGGTCTAAGATCATTATTATTACTAGAATGACTTAAAAGTCTTCTACTCAACGATTTCTTTCTCTCTATTCCACAATTGTTATTATGATCGCCACTACTTAGAGCTTCATTGATGCTACTATAGTTATTACTGTTGCTATTGTCGTGGGATAATGTGCGGCTTAGGACTCTTCTGGAAAGAGATTTCTTTCTCGATAAGCTGTCGGTGATATTTTTATTCTCTTGAATAGCAGTTTTAGAAGCAGGTGCACCATCTAGAAAGGTTGAGGAGCCCAACCCCATGGTTATTTGGCCATGAACTGGCATTTCTTTGACTTTAGCGTCAAAAGCAATCACCGAATCATTTTTATCGAGCATTGCAATGTATTTTCTAGTAGGAGAAAGTGCTCTTTTATCATTTTCCGTATATTTATCATTATTACCATAGTTTTTGTTTTTGTTTTTGTTATTATTATTGTTATTGTTATTGTTATTATTATTATTATTATTATTATTATTATTATTATTATTATTATTATTATTAGTAGTAGTAGTAGTAGTAGTAGTAGTAGTAGTAATATTATCATTTTTAATATTATTATTGCTATTTTCATCAATTTTATTCACTTTTTTGGAATTAACATTTTCATGATTATTAATCTTATACTTTTGATTGGAAATATTATTATAATCATTAACTTGATCGTTGCCCATTATGACATCGATGGTTTTTTGCTTGGGGTTGTTTGGACCTAAGCCCTTTATCGAAGAATTAGGACCGTTGATAGGAAAAGCTTGAATTGGGGAAATTTTATTATTTTTGTTTCGATGGGGAGTACAAGCATCAAATGGACCATCATGATGAAAAGATGCACCGAATAATCCAGAGACATCTAATCGGTCGATAGTGTCCACACCACGCATTTTAACGTTGACATTTTTATTTTTCGAGCTTCTTTTGGGATGATGGTGAGCATGCGAAGATTTGGTTCTTTGTTTATTATTAATGACTTCTCTTGCTGAAAGAGATTTCGACCTTTGAATAGCAGTTTGATTACTGTAATTTCTAAGATCCTTTCTTGGAGGAGGAGGCGAAATGTGAGCATTTTTTCTTTGGGTCGAAAAAGATCTTCTTGGAGGGGAATTAATAGCACTGGTATTGGTAGCAGTAGGAAGAGGAGGATGGGGAGCAGTAGCAGTAGCAGTATTGGTAGTAGGTTGGTGGTAGATTTTTCTATTTCTGCTTCTATTGGGAATAGCAGGTTCTTCAATAGAAGGATGATCAAAAATATTTGGGATTGAGGATAAACTGTCGTTTATTGAATCTAGTGAATATGATCTGGCTGATCTAGTTGATCTTCCAGATGGCTTCTTATAGATCAAAAAAGAGTTTCCCTCATTATTGATTGAACTTGAATCGTAAAGAGCGTCAGCAAAGGGGTTTCTTGATTCGTTGCGAGCCGGTAAAGCCATTGTGATTGAAGATATACAGTTGAAAAGACAAAGAGAATAAGAGAGAAAGAGATAGCAAGAGAATAAAAAGGGAAAAATGAGGAAAAAAAAGACAAACCCAAAAAGAGAATAAAGGGGAGAAAACAAAAGAGCAAAAGAGATCAGAACAAGAACGAGGGATATCTATCTGGGTACCTGGTATCTACTATCAGTTGGTTTTCTTCTCCTTTTATATTTGATCTAGATTAGATCAAGGAAAATTGAGCTGAAAAATTATTGTCTAATGTTTGAAGTTAAATTGTCTCACAGTTTTGCTTTAAAATGAACCATCGGTGTCATTTACACTGAGAACGGCAGAACTATCTGTAACATTGCTACCTAGAGCAGATCAGCCCAGAGAAAGCCTGCTTTCTTTGTGCAGAAAACCAGCTGCTTCCATGGCACTGCTATTTCTGCTGTTTTTGCTGCTTCTGCTGCTTCTGCTTTTGCTGCCGGTGCTGTCTCTGCGGCCTTCACACGGGCACCGGCTTCGCGCCATCCCCAGCTTTCGTCGCTCCATCGCCCCGGAGCGCTGGGTTGCTGCATTGTCGTAGTGTTTGGACATTCTGCAGTAGCATCCTGCAGACACCCTGCTGCAGAGCACGTGTAGCATCCCTGCGTGCTTGCAACGCTGGAAGCTCCAATCGGGCACAAAAACGGGTGGCAGCACTGGAAATGAGCCTGCGGTGGTTGGACAGCCCGATTGGGAAAGAGCGCAGCACGAGAAGCACAGGAGGCACGGGAGGCACACGCAGCACAAAAACACACAAACAGCCCGTTTTCAGGCTCCGACGGGAGAAGCCAGCTGCCACCGAGCACGAGCCTCTTTGATGGTGCAAAATTCCTACTAGCTGAATATATTAAGTCTGGATTCAAGGAATTTCCAATCTAAAATAGTCACTTTTCATGAGCCTATTTAAAAATAAACCTGTTTCTCGACTACTCTATTTCATATAAATTCAATTACCTCCTCTGCTCTTGTCTATTCCAACTCTTTTTTTACTTTGTCTATTATTGTTTTTTTGTTATATTCTTATTTTTTAACTTGTTCTCATTCCATATTCGTTAGATCGCTCCATATTATACTTTTTTATTATTTTTTACTTTCCCTATCTCTCTTAAAATGTCTCAACCACAACTACCTGAAGGCTACACCATCAGAAGAATGGAAGCTGCTGACTATGACAAGGGCGTTTTAGATACTCTAGCCACTTTAACTACTGTCGGTGAAATATCAAAAAATGACTTCATCGAGCAAATCAACTATTGGAACCAAAATAAAGCAATTTATAACCCAACCGTTATAATCATCGAAGAAACTCAAGAAATCGTCGGAACTGGCATGGTCTTTATCGAAAAAAAATTAATTCATAATTGTGGAAAAATCGGTCATATTGAAGACATCTCCATTAAAAAATCACAACAAGGTAAAAAACTAGGTCTTTTCTTAATCAACTATTTGACTGATATTGCTCAAAAAAATAACTGCTATAAAGTTATCTTGGATTGTTCTCAAGAAAATATAAAATTTTATGAAAAATGTGGTTATAATAAAGACTGTTTCTCAATGGCTTATCGTTTCAAATTATAAACAATCCACTTATAATCCTATCGATTTATAATTTTATAGATTTATCTTATTATTATTCAGTATATATTTTTCTTATTATTATTCAGTATATATTTTTCTTATATTCCATACCCCATACTTTATATCTTGTCTAAAACCTCGATAGATACAATAGAATTTCCCCGAACAATCGCTGTTCCAATCTGAATCTTGCTCTCTTCCTTATTCTTATATCCACCAATTTCCACTCCCTCGTCAACTGTCAAATTCAAAAATACATCATATCCTCTTAGTATCCCAACTATTTTTCTTGACCCATTCAATTGTATACTAACTGTTTTATCCATATACTAATTATAATATCATTTGCATGGACATCTACATGTCCATGTAAAGGTAAATGTAGATGTGTTAGTTTTATATCCCAATAATTATACGCCATTTATTACTCTCAAATTCACAACATAATCATACCTTTTTCAATTCAGGAGCTGAAACCATCTTTAAACCTATCTTATATCAAATATTATCCTCAAATTTTATATCACTTTTGACTAACTCACCCTTTTCTTTCTCATTCAAAGCTATTTCTCTTTTCTTCCTCTGCATCTGAGATATCAAAATTTTGGTAATCTAGATCACGTGAAACTTTAATGTCTACCATAAAATTCTATACACTCTAAACAAAAACTGAGACACAAATAACGGAATATATCGATATATGTATAATCATCAGCAAAACAACTTGATCATCCTTCTCTATTCTTTCTTCTTCTTCTCTATCTTTTCTTTATTTTTTCTTCTTTTT